TACGGGATGATAAAAAGTGAAGTGATGACAGAAAAGGACGAGAGAGGACCAGGCCTGGCACATTTGTTTGTTTTTAGCTTGCAGTCATCCACACAGTCTTGTATTAACCCCGATGAACTTAAATACACCGGAGATGATGATTAACTAAACTACAAACTGGTCATACCGGTGAAGGGTAAATGCTGGTGGGAAACAGAACAAATGGAAATCTAAACACAACAGAACTGGCACATTAAGCCTCTCCTTCTTCAGGAACGTAATGTGTATTAAAGTGTTTTTAAACTTGTCTAAATGCATTGAGCTGCTGGCATGTGATTGGCTGATTAGAAAGTTGCGTTAACGAGCAGTTGGACAGGTGTACCTAATAAAGTGGCCGGTGAGTGTGTAATGAATGGGGAAAAGATAACTTTAAATATGTGAAACGCAGCCAGTGTTACTCTCTCCCTCTCTTCCTCACTGAGCTCTAAACGCCCTTCACTGCTATTGGCTACACACGTGCGTTGTTGATTGGTCCACTTTTCAACAGTGTTCACTTGGAAGATCACTTGGTGTCCCTTTAACACATAATGGCTGTAAACACAAAGCACATTCAGCCTTGTAGGCACATTTCTCTGTTGCATAAACAAGTCCGGTGTGCTGTTTCCCCTGATTGCGAAGTCTTTTGTCTTTACGTTTGTGTAATTGAAGTCATCAGTGTTGTTTGATGATTGTTTGCTGCTAGCTGTAAAGTTAAGGGAGCGTTCACACAGCATCAATAATAAATATAGCTGCAAGCAGCAATTAAGGGGCCAAGCACTTTTGGCCAAAAGATTGCGCTGCTCCAGAAGTTGAGTACTTTCAGGGCATGGGGTTGAAGATGCATACCATGTTTTGTAATGATATGTGAATATGTCGGTAAAATATAGCATTTTTGGCCTAAAATGGAAATGGGCGACGCCCAAAATGGCTGACCTGTGAAAATCAGACATCATTCGACTCGACGTGCTCTGCCGGATGTAATGAGACCAATTTTATGAGTTTCGGACGAAAGGTTGAGACGTTATAAGCCAAAAAGTAATTTTTTTTGTATCTCCGGACCACTAGGGGGCAGTGCGCCGTAACTCCGCATATAACCTCAAACCCTAGTTGTCATAACACCCACCAAGTTTGGTGTGAATCGGTGAATGCGTTACGGAGATATCTTCTCAAGTCCATTTTCGCAAGTTCTTCGTAAAATTTGATCGCAAGTTAAACGAAAACGGTTGGTCAAATCAACTTGAATTCCATAACTTTTGGTTGGCATGGTCTGTAGATCATGTGATTCAATTTTGGTGAAAATCGGAGAAACGGCCTAGGACGAGTTTGATCAAATAGGTTTTTCGAAAAATTTTAAATAGCGCGAAAAAATTCATGACGGAAAATGACGTCATAGGGTGCGTTTAAATCGGACTGAGCCAAGGAATCAGAGGAAAAAAGAATTTTGATTGTAGCCCATTCGGTTCAAAAGTTATCATGATAAAAATATGTGAAAGTTTGACAAGTGGTGGCGCTAGAGAGTTTGATTTTGAGACTTCATATTTGGTCTGATTAATGTTGAGACTGGCCTCTATCATTGTGCCAAATTATACAACTTTCCCGCATACGCCTATATGGGCTGCCATTCAAATCCGGCGGAAGAAACGGAAGAAGAAGAAGAAGAACACTAACGGTGCTTGGCCCCTAATGACTGTAAAGTCCATCAGCAGATGGAATGGTCAATACTTCACAAACATCCAGCAAACACTGATTTCATCTTAAACATGCGTAGGGTATTCAAACTCCTAACAGGTGACTCTACAATCACTTTTGAGAAATGATTCTCTTCAAATGGTTCTGTTTTAAACCTCTGTAAAGCGCTGTTGATATTTGATATCAGCAAAACAAACATGTCTGTACTCTAACGGATGACACCCCTATCTACAGTAGTAGCTTCCGCCAGCTGTTTTACTTGAAATGGAGGAAGTTTCCAGGCTTTATAATGCAATGAGATGAACTTCTGTTTTTTCCAGTGATGGGTTGCGGCTGGAAGGGCATCCGCTGCATAAAAACTTGCTGGATAAGTTGGCGGTTCATTCCGCTGTGGCGACCCCGGATTAATAAAGGGACTGAGCCGACGAGAAAATGAATGAATGAATGAACGTCTGTTTATCATAGAACCTGAACACCCGGAGCAAACCCACGCCAACACGGAGAGAACATGCAAACTCCACATAGAAATGCCGACTAGCCCAGCCGGGACTCAAATTAGTGACCTTCTTGCTGTTAATCAACAGTGCTGACCATTGAGCCACCATGCCGTCTTATACAATTTCAATAAATCCAGAATCTACACATACACAAACATTATCCACACAAGGCCGAAAGTGACCAGGCAATGAGTAAAGTGGAACAAGGGAACTTAAATATATTGGAGACAATGATTGACTAAATCACAAACCGGTCGTACCAGTGAAGGGTAAATGCTGGTGAGAACCAGAGCAAACGGAAAACTAAACACAACAGAACTGGCACAGTACAGCATACTAGAACAAAGGTAATAACATTGTACAATCTCACACAGAGCAACAAGCAAACTGACACACAATATATTGAAGGAAAAGACAGCTAACTTTGAGTCTATAGCCCCTTTCACACATACAGACCTTTCCGGAAAATTACCGGCAATTTTCCGGAAAGCTTGTATGTGTGAACAGGCCCTTTTTAAAAATACCGGTAAATTCGTTCTGGCTATTTTCCAGAAAGAGAAGTTGTAACAGTAGCCCCTTTCACACAGTGATACCGGTAAATATCCGGAAAATTTCCGGAATGACTTTACCGGTATATTCAAACAAGCGCTGTTCACACAGACGAGGACGTTACGGAAATTTTCCGGAAAAGAGCATTCATACATCCATTCCAAAATACCGGTAAATTCTGACATCATTCACCACAAATGAGCTTTAAACGGCTGCGCTTGTGTTTGTAAACATTTGACTACATCACAAACTCTGTGGATGATCAATATAGTGAACAACTTTCGCAGGATCACTTTCGCATGTCGAGATGTTCATAATATGTGCGTGTGCAGGCGCTCAGGCTGTTTCACAGGCACACGCAAAGCTTGAAGGTAAACAAACAACGGCTTATCATAAGCATCTCATCGATGATTATTTACACGGTTGGCGTTAAGATGAACATATTAACGTGACCTGACTAACTTCTAGCAGCTAAATGTGTCTGGAAAAATATTCAAAGGCTTTTATTCTCATAAACCGTGCGGACGTGAATGCGTCTGACTGTTGTGATTGACTAAAGTAGACGTCTCACGTCAGTACGTTCTAGACGTGCACGCGCTTATTACGGTAATCTTCCTTCTGCATTCACACAGCGCAGCATTCCGGCAAATTGCCGGTAATGTTACAACTTCTCTTTCCAGAAAATAGCCAGAACGAATTTACCGGTATTTTCAAAAAGGGCCTGTTCACACATACAAGCTTTCCGGAAAATTGCCGGTAATTTTCCGGAAAGGTCTGTATGTGTGAAAGGGGCTAGTATTGGTAATTTGCCGGAATGCTGCGCTGTGTGAACGCAGAAGGAAGATTGCTGGAAAGAGCGCGTGCACGTCTAGAACGTGCTGACGTGAGACGTCTACTTAAGACTTAGTCAATCAGAACAGTGAGACGCATTTACGTGCGCGCGGTTTATGAGAATAAAAGCCTTTAAATATGTTTCCAGACACATTTAGCTGCTAGATGTTAGTCAGATAACGTTTATATGTTCATCTTAACGCCAACCGTGTAAATAATTATCGATAAAATGTTTATGATATGTTTGTTTACCTTCAAGCTTTGCGTGTGCCTGTGAAACAGCCCATGAGCGCCAGCACACACACATATCATGTACATCTCGACATGCGAAGTGTTTCTCAATATGTTTTCATCGGAGTTGTACTCAATACTGATTCATTCACTGAGTTTGTGATGTAGTCAAATGTTTACAAATGCAAACGCAGCTGTTTAGAGCTCATTTCTGGTTAATGATGTCAGAATTTACCGGTATTTTGGGATGGATGTGTCAATGCTCTTTTCCGGAAAAATTCCGTAACGTCCTCGCCTGTGTGAACAGCGCTTTTTTGAACTTACCGGTAAAGTCGTTCCGGAAATTTTCCCGATATTTACCGGTATCACTGTGTGAAAGGTTCTTGTGACATATAGTCAATAGCCCCTTTCACACCGGTAAATATATGGAAAATTTCTCAGATTTACACATTTACTCAAGTGAATAAACAGAATTAATAATGGGCTAAAAATCTGTGGAATTCTGCGGAAATTCTGTGGAAAATCTGCGGAATTCTGCGTGCGCAGATTCCGTGTGGGCCTACTGATAAGGTTAATGCATGCTTGGCATACTGTTGGAGGATCCTCAAGCCCGGGCCTCCCTCCTGTTGTGGTCAGGAGACAGAGGAAGGGCTCGGGAAGGTCTTGAGAACTCCCCTGATATTTAGCTAGGAAAAGAGGGGAAGGAGTCCAGGTTAATAGGGGCGATTCTTCAAAATTGAAGATGCCTGAGGTAGTGTGAGCAGACTATTCATGTGCATTTGAATTCATCTGATTGGATGGTCAAGTGATTGTTAATGCAGGACCAGCTGTGGTCAATCATAAGCATGTAATCCTCTTGAAATGTGCTTATAAAACATCACTAAGTAATTTGAACAAACGGCAAATGTAGCTTTTCGAAGTGAAGCAGGAAGGTTGCTGGTTCGAGTCCCGGCTGGGTCAGTTGTCATCATTTCTGGGTGGAGTTTGCATGTTCTCCCCGTTTCCCCCACAACCCAAACACATGCTCTATAGGGGAACTGATGAACTGAATTGGCCGTAGTGTATGAGTGTGTGTGTATGAGAGTTTCCCAGTACTGGGTTGCAGCTGGAAGGGCATCCGCTGTGTAAAACAAATGCTGGATGAGTTGGCGGTTCATTCCACTGTGGTGACCCCTGATGAATAATGACTAAGCCAAAGGATGAAAAATGAATGAAATTTAAGTGAATTGAACACAAAACCACGAAGATGTCCCAAGAAACCTTCAGGAATTGTGTTGTTTTGGCTCATTTTGTATAAGTCATTTGAACAAACAGCAAATGTCATTGTTTTGAATGCCAGACAAATACTCTAAGAAGGAAAAGCATGTGTTTTTTGCAGTGTGCTCATCATGCGCTAACAGAAACCCGCTGTCAGACAAACTCCCTACAAAGATCAAGGTCAGCCTCAGCTTTTCACCCAGATCCAGGTGTGACCTTCCACTGCTTTATACAGACAGAAACTGAACTACCTCCAGACATCGGACACTATAACAGATCCCGCCCCATTCGTGGAAAAGAGAAGTGTGTGTTTCTTTCTCACTCGTAGGACAGGTTCCCATGAATGGTGGACGTGAACGAGGAGACATGAATGCAGCAGGCATGAATGCAGATGTCCGTCATTTTAATGGATGCCTTTACGCCACTGGAATGAGCATCTCAGACAGGGCAGAAGGTTTTGGGATGTTTACTGTGGTAACGCAGTACTGCTTTAACAAAAACTGATCAGGTAAGGCATTCACTGCTTAAATCTGTCCGTTTGATTAGTGTCCATGTTATAAATACAAGGATAAACTGCTTACTTGCACGGTAAAAATTAAAAAGTTGAGTTAAGTTTTTAAGCAATCAGCTGCAAAGACATTTTGAGTTTATGAAGCTTCAGTGGTTGAAGTTGTGCAAATTATTCTGTAAAATATTTAACTTAAACCAGCCTTTTTAGTCAACTTTAAAAAAAATAATAATAATAATTTGGCACAACTTCAACCACTGAAGCTTAATAAACTCCAAATTTTTTTTGTAGCTAGATGCTTTACATTTTTAAGTTAACTCAACTCTTTTAATACAGTATACTTTGAGTTTTTGTCTCGTTTCTAATCCAGAAATCAAAAAATTCCTAAATCAAGAAGCTTTTTTTCTAGATGACAGTATTTTATTTCAGAAATCAAGACAATAAACCTTTGATTTCAGAAATCATGAGTCAAAATCAAGTGAGTGTTTCTTTAAAACAAGCTCAATAATCTTATGTCAACTTAAAAAACAAGAGTATTTTGCTTACCCCATTGGCAGATCATTGTGCTAGTACTGAGTGAAAACACAATTCATTTGGACTTAATATTTCTAAAAAAACAAACAACAACAGCATTTTAACCTGTCTAATGCTAAATATTTAGATATCTGGACTAGAAACAAGATTAAAAACTTATATTTAGCAGTGTATTTCATCATGTGATCCCAGGTTAAATGTACATTATTAAAGAAAGTGTTTTATTTACCAGAACATCTGACTTCTGTCTTTTAAAAACACATGCCATTCAGCACTAAAATAGATTAATATCTGGTTATTTATATGATTTTACCAACTTTAAGATTCTTTAAATTCTTTGATTTAAGCATAGACTTACTTCTAATACTTGTTATGCATCACTGGCACCGTGTAACCGACACGGCATTACTGTAAATGTTATTTAAAGATGGCTGAAATGTTTTGCTGGAGATTAAGACTTTGAAACAAGAGTTGTACTTACAAACACTGGCATACGCCTGTTTGGGGTGTAAACACAAAGTAAGAAACAGTTTCCGTATAAATTATAGATCCTAAAAGTACATTTCTACCAAGACAAGTGTCACTTCATGCTTTAAACATAAATCAATTGATATTTATAAGAATATTCATGATTATGCTACTATAAATGTCTCTACGGTGGCTCCTGCACACTCAGAAATAAAGATATACGCGCGTCCCTGGGGTGTACCTTTTCAAAAGGTACACATTTGTAGCTAAAAAGTCAATATTAATACCTCAAGAGTACCTAAACAGTACAAAAGTGTTCCTCTTCATTTTTTTCAGGTGCTTATATATAGTTTTGAGGTACCAATATGGACCCTTTAAGTACAAATGCGTACCTTTTGAAAAGGTTTTACCCCAGTGACAGCTCGCATTTCTTTATTTCTGAGAGTGTGTAATCCAATAATGCTCTGAAATTCTGAAAAGCTAACTTTATTATATTTTTAGTTTGTTTATAGCCTTGTTTTATCTTTTATTTGATGCATGTGGAGAATTAAGTTCATCTGATGTAAAGCATAAGGTTTCATTCATGCTTTATGTGAAATATACACTGTAAAACCCCAAAAGTTAAGCTAACCACTTAAACTCTGCGGACCCGGTACCGGGTCGTCATCGACTTTCGCTTTCAGATTTAAAGTAAGTGGTGTCGTTTGAAAGTGTAAAATCTATATTTTATGCACATATGCATCACTTTGGTTTTTATTCCACTGTACAAAAGTTAATTACACTTAAATACACAGTATTTTGGATACCCGAGCTGGGTATTTTACATTGGTTCATTTTCATATTTTTTTATATGACACATGTACAAGTTATAGCTGAAATGAAAGCTCTTGCCGGTTCTCATACAGTTCTAGCAATCTTTTTACTGAATTATATTCATATGCCAAACAGTTGTTGAATGAATTGTGGTGTTTCCATGGCGCAGAAATGTAAACAATACATTTATGATCAATAAGCAGCCCCAGATAGCACAGACAGCTGTCATCTCTTACCTTATGCTGTGCCCTTCAGGGCCATTCTCCTCTGTTTTTGAGGTGATGTGCATAAGTAATCCTTTTATATGTCTGACGTGCTCCAAACACAGTGAATTATGTTTGATCAAACAAAAGAATAGTGAAATATGTAAACAATGATCGCTCTCTGTGGCTTGTACAGCACATCTCATCAGCTGGAATACAATAACTTTTGCATAGATTATGGTGGAGACATTTTTCTTTTTTCCTATGATTACAGACATGTGCAGGAACCACCAACATTAATTACAGCACGCTAGAGCACACAGAACATAAAAGTTACACTTTCACATTTGAGTTTATAAAAAAAAATACAAAAAGCGCCTCTTTTTTTAGGTGTTTATTATAACACAGACAACATATACAGATATTTTAAACACTTTCAATAGTGTTTTATGAAAATTCAAAGGGTTTTCTTTAAAATGATACCAAATTTTTGCATTTACACCTCTGCATGTGGATTTGGGAAGCTTTTAAATTTGGGTTGGCAAAATCCAGGCGGAAATCCCAAAATAGCAGCAGAGTTTAAGTGGCTAACTCAAACCATTTGTTCAAGTTCAAAAACTAATCCGAATGAGTACTGTGAGCTAAATCCATTTGAGTAAACGAAGCAATCTGAGCACAGTAAAACCCAATAAATGAAAAGAAACTCAAACCAACTGAGTACTGTAAAACCCAATAAGTTAAGGCAACTCAAACCATTTGAGGAAACTGATTGTTACAAACCATTTATGTTTAAAAAGTAATCCTAATGAGTACTGTGAACTTAATCCATTTGAGTAAACGAAGCAATCTGAGCACAGTAAAACCCAATAAATAAAGAGAACTCAAACTGAGTACTGTAAAACCCAATAAGTTAAGGCAACTCAAACCATTTGAGGAAACCAATTGCAACAAACCATTTGAGTTAAACTAATCTATATGAGTACTGTGAACTTACTCTATTTAAGTTGAATAATGAGGTATTTAATGAACTCATTACCGTCAACACTGAGTTTAAAACTCTTTTCAAATGAGTAGAACTAACTCTCAGTCAATTTTGAGTTCACTACACTCATTTCACTTGATAAAGTTGACTGTTGGGTTTTAGACTTTATGTCCTCCAGTAATCTGATCTTAAAGTTTCTTATAGGTTTTTTCCAGTCAGTTCTTTCTCCTCTGTCAGCTGATCGAGTGTAAAGATATGAGCGCACAGACTTCAGAAAGTAGTCTACTACTAGTGAGTCACTGCTCATTTAGGAGCTATACAGGGCGTGTGCTATATTTCTAATAGAGTCATGTTGTAATTGGGGTTTTAACAGCGGCAAGCTGATTTTATTAGCTCTACTTGTGTAACTACATTCTTCAGTAGCTCAGACTCATAAAACAATGCAGAACTTCCAGTAGCCAACTAATTTATCAAGCAAATAGCGGTGCAGCTTGAGAATAGATAAAGTAGATTCTGTAAAAATAGTTTATTACAGCCATCTACTGGTACTGGCCGCTTTAAGACAGATTACGATCGATCTGTGCAGCGCTGCATGAAGTCGAACGCACCTATTGTAAAGCACATGTTTTGGATGCTGTCTATATTAACAGCTTTATTAATAAATAATGTCAGTCTGTACATGCTCCGTATTGCCTTCAAAGGACACAGAATGTTTGCTGGGAGCTGTTATTTAGCGGAAGCAGAACACAGTTGACACATTTCGGCGCAACATTTCAAAGAAACAGAAAGTAAATAAACGACATGCTGATACGACGCAGGTAAAAGCATCTTACGTGTGTGTACATGCGCAGTACATGAACGAAAGTGTTGTTAGTCCTTTTAGTGACAGAAAGAAGTCAAAATAATAGTGATAATAATTACTTACATTTATATGGCGATTTTCTGGACACTCAAAGTGCTTTACACATTGTGGGGGATCTCCTCATCCACCACCAGTGTGCAGCATCCACCTGGATGACATGACGGCAGCTATTTTGTGCCAGACCGCACGCCACACACCAGCTGATTGGTGGAGAGGAGACAAAGTGATGAAGCTAATTATGATATGGGGAGGGTTAGGAGGACATGATGGACAGAGGCCTGAATTTCTCTTTCAGAACTCTTTTCGAAGGACATCCTAGGATTTTTAAAGACCACAGAGAGTCGGGCCCTCGGTTTAACATCTCATCCGAAAGACGGCGCTCACTGAGCAGTATAGCGTCCCCGTCACTATACTGGGGCATTAGGACCCACACAGACCGTAGGCTGGGCGCCCCCTGCTGGCCTCACTAACACCTAACCTAGCTTTACCATGTGGTCTCCCATCCAGGTACTGACCGGGCACAGCCCTGCTTAGCTTATGTGGGCGACCATGTGAGAGTTGCAGAAGTGTGGACATGGAGCGTTTCTGACAAAAGCACCATTTTAAATGCATCTGATTAGCGTAGATATAGCCCATAAGTGAAAAAGTGCTGATGAGGAACTGTTTTAATGAAGTATTTAATTCTTAAAACAGCCAAATACAGTTATGAGGTCAAAGCTGTTATTTTCACACAGTTCTCGAATTTCTCAAACAGCCTAACACACACACACACACACACACACGCACGCACACACACACACACACACACACACGCACACACACAGATCCAATTGCAGCTTTATTTTCGTTCCCAAAAGTAATCAAGGTTATGACAAGCAAAAACAACAGTGCAAAAAATTTTGAGCACAACTAGATAAATACTTTGAAAAGACTAAGAAGCTAACAAACAGTAAAATCTGGCCAACTCAAGAGGCGTAAGTGCACACTAAACTAAACAGATTAATGATACACAGCTCATTGCAATGACTTAAATCAGATAAGTAAAGCATCTGGGGATCTGAAATCCCCAAATATGTAAGACGCAGTGCCCTCTAATGTCCACCATGAGCACTGCTGTCTATGGCTATATATAGTGTATGTAACAGGGGTCACCAATCTCGGTCTAGGAGGGCTGGTGTCCCTGCAGGGTTTAGCTCTAACTTATCAGGTGTGTTTGATTAGGGTTGGAGCTAAAACCTGCAGGACACCGGCCCTCCAGGAACAAGTTTGGTGAACACTGGTATATAATATACACTCACCGGCCACTTTATTAGGTACACCTGTCCAACTGCTTGTTAACGCAAATGTCTAATCAGCCAATCACATGGCAGCAACTCAAGGCATTTAGGCATGTAGACATGGTCGAGACGATCTGCTGCAGTTCAAAGTGAGCATCAGAATGGGGAAGAAAGGAGATTTAAGTCACTTTGAATGTGGCATGGTTGTTGGTGCCAGACGGGCTGCTCTGAGTATTTCAGAAACTGCTGATCTACTGGGATTTTCACGCAAATAGCTTACAGAAAGATTATGTATTAAATACATTCACAAAGACGAAAAACAAAGGAGGTTTTTGATATAATTTTAGTTAGTTTCAGTAAGTTTTGTATGTACACAACACACTTTCGGTTAGCTCTAGTTTTTTTAAAAACTCTTGTTTTTATTTTAATTTTAGTTAACGATAATTATTTAAAAATTTTAGTTTTCGTTCGTTTTGGTTAACTATAACATGGTTTCCGCTACATTCATTCTTCCCTGGCAGAGCACCACACCAAAATTCATCCCGCCACAGCTACATTACAGCTTCTTAGTCAAAATATTCTGTCGTTTTTTAAATAGCAGGTTAATAGCAGCGCAAACTTTTCTGTGAGCGTAGTAGTGCTGTGCGTTCTGTTAAACCCTTTAAGGTGACGTGCTGACAGTCTGACTGACATGTGCGTGATGCGTGAAACCAGCAAACACGGCGTAGCTTTCAGTTATGATGAACACAGTTTCCATAATTATACTTTATTTATAGATAAAGGTCTGTGGCTCTGCATATAAAGACTTTATCTTGCTGGAGTTTATAGCTGTTTTGCTTTACTGCAGGACACATTAATGCCGCGGTCCGCTCCGCAAGTCTGTCGGAGACATTCATAAATATTCCTAGCAAATCTAATAAATGTTGACATACTCGGTACATAAACGCACTCAATCACACTTCAGCAGTGTTTATTTGAGGGTGCACAAGAAAATCTGCACTTGATTAGTGTATATTTGAGGGCGCGTAGGAAGTTTTGTGCACGAACAGAGGAAATTAGCACTCAAGCAGAGATTGACATGCACGTAGGCTATTACATAAATGCGATCTCGACGTAATACTGCGCCCACGACATCTGTCAATGAAATAACGCCACATGTAGTGGTAGATCTGTGTAAAATGCCCAACAGAGTCTGCCGCCACAGCTAGAAAAAGTCCTAGAGGAAACGCTGCGCTCTATCATTTATATTGTTTGTTGTTCATACTTTATGCAAAATTCCATTCCATTACGACGAAGCAGACAGAAACAGCATCGTGAGAAAGCTGCGATCTTGAAAGTATCTGGAATAAGGCTGTAACATAAAACATGTGGAAAAAGTGAAGCGCTATCAATGCTTTCCGGATGCACTGTATGTGTATATATATATATATGTGTGTGTGTGTATGTGTATGTGTGTGTGTGTGTGTGTGTGTGTGTGTGTGTGTGTGTGTGTGTGTGTGTGTGTGTGTATATATAATTATTATTACTTAATCTAACATTTGCCCTGAAGATCTAAATAAAATATTATCACATATGAATGAGTACATTTTCAAGTATATACTTTCAAAATAAAAAAAAAAGTAGTCCTTTACATGTGGTCAACATACCAATAAATGGATTAAATTAACTTAAACCGAAAGTGGGGGGTGTCATGGCCCTTTAATAACAGCTCAAACTTTTCTGTGAGCGTAGTAGTGCTGTGCGTTCTGTTAAACCCTTTAAGATGACGTGCTGACTGACTGACTGACTGACAGGTGCGGGATGCGTAATAAATGTTGACATACTCGGTACATAATCGCACTCAATCACACTTCAGCCGCGTTTATTTAAGGGTGCGCAAGAAAATCTGCACTTGAGTAGTGTATATTTGAGGGCGCGCAGGAAGTTTTGTGCACGAACAGAGGAAATCAGCGCTCAAGCAGAGATTGACATGCACGTAGGCTATTACATTAATGCGATCTCGACTGAATACTGCGCCCACGACATCTGTCAATGAAATAACGCCACATGTAGTGTAAAATGGCCAACAGAGTCTGCCACCACAGCTAGAAAAAATCCTAGAGGAAACACTGTATTATAACCTTGGTTTGTGAAAACAGAAACTGCATGAAGATGTATGACACGTAAACTAGTTCTCAAAAATGTTGCCCTGTGCACATATTCTCCTTCGATGAGCCTGACTCTCACGGCTTGTTAATTTAGGCTTTGCATGTGTACCCCTCAAAACCCCAAACCCCTGCGCCTCATCACACGCAGAGACAGACAGTGAGGAGATTTGTTTTGCAAATCATTTCCTCTAAACACATTTCCAGTGAGCAAATATGTGATGAAGGCATTATGATGCATGACCAATCACTGAAGAATTGGCTTGACAAATTGGCAGTCAGTCAAAGGGTAATCAGTCATATCAGACTAGCCTCAGTGGTTTAAACAAGCAGCCACTAAGTGCTCTCATTTGTTTGTATACAATTGCATTTTCAGGAGAGCAAGAGAGTGTGGACGAGTGGATCAGATGGGGACCCGAGCAAAACGAAGGACGCAGAAGTTGTTTTTGGGAGCTTTTGTGATTTGCATCATGGGTTTCTACTCCTATACTGCACCGACCCTCCTGGCAACACACAGGTATGCCGACAAGACACATATACATTAATATACAGTTGAAGTCAGAATTATTAGCCCCCCTGTTTCATTTTTCCCCAATTTGTGTTTAACAGAGAGCAGATTATTTTTAACACATTTCTAATCATAATAGTTTTAATAACTCATCTCTAATAACTGATTTGTTTTATCTTTGCCATGATGACGGCACTTAATATTAGACTAGATATTCTTCAAGACACTTCTATACAGCTTAAAGTGACATTTAAAGGCTTAACTAGGTTAGGTAGGTTAACTAGGCAGGTTAGGGTAATTAGGCAAGTTATTGTATAACGATAGTTTGTTCTGTAGACTGTTGAAAAAAAAATATGGCTTAAAGAGGCTAATAATTTGTCCATAAATTGGTGTTTAAAAAATTAAAAACTGCTTTTATTCTAGTAGAAATAAAACAAATAAGACTTTCTCCAGAAGAAAAAATATTATCAGACATACTGTGAAAATTTCCTTGCTCTGTTAAACATCATTTAGGAAATATTTAAAAAAGAAAACCAATTCAAAGGGGGGCTAAAAATTTTGACTTCAACTGTAATTAAAATAGCAGTATAGCAGAGTTATTTTGTGATTCTTGTTTTTTTATTTTCCCCCATTTATTTCTGCTTATGAATTTCTTTATGGGACCTTGATCATTCTAGCAACAACATTTAACCACGAAAAGTTAAAAAAAGACTTTTAATAGCATTTTTAATAGTTTAAAGTGCTATATTGTTTGAGTTGGAGTTGTATAAAAAAACTTTGTAATAACCTGCCAGCACATTTTCTGTTATTTTACATACTTATTTATATTACCTATTTATAGTATCATATATCCATTATATTGTATATTACAAAAATACAGATTATTTGAAACTACTCAATAAGTCACTCGGTTAAACTGTAAGGTTGAACTTTCAATATAAAAAGTCAACAGAGCAGAGATCAACATCCCATAATCCCATTCACAACTGTAAATAAACAAAAAAAAAACACAGAACAAGTATGTATATTATATACAATTAAAGTCAGAATTATTCACCCCCCTGTTTATTTATTTTTTCTTCAATTTCTGTTTAACGGAAAGAAGATTTATTTTTTCAACACATTTATAAACATCATAGTTTAAATAACTCATCATTATTAACTGATTTGTTTTATCTTTGTCATGATGACAGCACATAATATTAGACTAGATATTCTTCAAGACACTTCTATACAGCTTAAAGTGACATTTAAAGGCTTCACTAATTAGGTTAACTAGGCAAATGTTTTTAAAAAATTAAAACTGCTTTTATTCTAGCCAAAATAAAACAAATAAGACTTTCTCCAGAAGAAAAAATATTATCAGACATACTGTGAAAATTTCATTGCTTTGTTAAACATCATTTAGGAAATATTTAAAATAGAAAACAAATCAAAGGGAGGTGAGTAATTCTGACTTCAACTGTATATAGTTAAAATTTGAAGTGGATCGCAACCTTTCTTCAAAGAAGTCTTAAACTATTGAACAACACCCATTATGTCTTGTATTAGGACAGTTTTGTTGTTATTGATCAGCTTCAAATGCTGTATACACACACACACACACACACACAGATGAAGTCAAAATTATTCGCCCTCCTGTCAAATATTTCTCTGATATTCTCATTGATATTTATTACTGTGAGGAATATTCAAATATATTGATATTTTTGACAACAGTATAAATCATTTTTAAAAATATATATTTATTTTTTATTTATTTATAGTTTTTTCCCTGTAGAAAATCTTATTTATTTCTATATATAAATTTAATTTTACTTATTTATTTTGTTCCTGCCTACTTAACATTTTTAATCAGTCGTTAAGTGTCACTTTAAGCTGGTAAAATGACCAGGGAAACATTCATTCATTTTCTTGTTGGCTTAGTCCCTTTATTAATCTGGGTTCGCCACAGCAGAATGAACCGCAAATTCATCCAGCATATGTTTACATAGCGGATGCCCTTCCAGGTGCAACCCAGTACTGGGAAATGTCCATACACACTCATTCACACTTATACATGGACAATTTAGCTTACCCAATTCCCCTATAGCACATGTGTTTGGACTGTGTTGGAAACCGGAGCAACCGGAGGAAACCCACACCAGCACGGGGAGAACATGCAAACTCCACACATAAGCACCAACTGACCCAGCCGGGGCTCAAACCAGCGACCTTCTTGCAAGAGTTCTGTCTGGTTCTTGAATCTAATTGGCTGATAGCCGTGAGATATTTTGGCCTCTTCAAAGCCTCTTCACCTTTGTGTATTACTCCGCCCACATACAAGCAGAGGACGCTCCAAAGTGAAGAGTCCTGGCTGGGCCGGTTTAAATCAGCTCGCATGTTCTCCCCGTGTTGGCGTGGGTTTCCTCCGGGTGCTCCGGTTTCCCCCACAGTCCAAACACATGCGCAATAGGTGAATTGATCAACTAAATTGGTCAATGTGTATGAGTGTGAAGGAGTGTGTATGGGGGTTTCCCAGTGCTGGGTTGCAGCTGGAAGGGCATTCCCTGTGTATAACATATGCTGGATAAGTTGGTGGTTCATTCAGCTGTGGTGACCCCTGATAATAAAGGGACTAAGCTGGAGAATATATATAAGTCATATATTTTATATATGTAAAAGCCTTATATGTCATATGTGTCAGCATATATATCCATGTGTGTGTTTTTGTCTTCAAAGCAAGCTCAGAGACTGTGTTTCTGTTTCATTTCTCTCTCTTCAGTGTGTCTCTGGCTCCATGTGCACCAACCAGCGACACGTGGAACGGTTCCCGGAGAACTCTTCAAGAGCACAGGTCCTGCACACCTAAAGTCAACCTGATGTTCATGAAGACGCACAAAACGGCCAGCAGCACTCTCATGAACATCCTCCTGCGCTTCGGAGAGAAGCACCAGCTGAAATTCGCCCTCCCCGACGGCCGCAACGACTTCTTCTACCCCTCCAGCTTCTTCCGAACTCAAGTGAAGAGCTACCAGCCGGGCGTGTGCTACAACATCGTCTGCAATCACATGCGTTTCAATGCACCAGAGGTAGAGAAGCTGCTCCCAGCAGACGCCTTCTTCTTCACCATCCTACGAGATCCTGCCGAGCTTTTTGAGTCGTCCTTTCACTACTACAAAGGCTACGTCCCGCAGACATGGAGAATCCCGGGAGACAACCAGTTCAAGGAGTTCCTCAGCAATCCAAACCAATACTTCAACCCGACAGGAATCAACGCTTTCTACCTCAAGAATCTGCAGTTCTTCGACTTTGGCTTTGAGAATAATCTAAACTCCGACGATCCGAGAGTTCGACAAGGCATCGAGTACATTGAAAAGCGCTTCCAGCTGGTGCTGATTTCCGATCACTTCGAGGAGTCGCTGATCCTGCTGAAAGACGCTTTGTGCTGGCAGATGGACGACTTGATGTTTTTCAAGCTCAACGCTAGAAGCGTTTCGTCTGTATCTCCCATGAGCCCGGAGCTGAGGACTCAAGCTCGCCAGTGGAACGGCGCAGACTGGCAGCTCTACCAGCACTTCAACAACACGTTCTGGGCGCGTGTGGAGGCGTATGGGAAATCCCGTATGGAGGAGCATGTGAAGGAGCTGCGCAGGAGGAACGCGGAGATGGAGGCCATCTGCATCGACGGAGGCAGAGCTGTGGAGGCTAAAGACATCACGGACACACACATGAAGCCCTGGCAGCCGCTCGGGAAGGCCTCGATATTGGGCTACAACCTGAGGACAGACATCGACCAGCACTACCAGGAGCTCTGCAGGAAAATGCTGACCCCGGAGATCCAGTATTTGACTAATTTAGGCGTCAGTCTGTGGGTCACGCGGCTGTGGGGATGGTTTAAGGATAGTGTTGTGCAGTTTGGGTTGAGCTAGGTTTATATGTAAGATGTTTATATTCGTTATGAATGTGACTATGAGTAGTCATTTGTGGTGTTTTGCTTTTATAATTATTAGTGCTGCAGATTCATCGCAATTATTCACATCCAAAATAAAAGCTTATGTATGTACAGAATATATATATATGGGCAATATCACACGAGTAGCAGGGTGCTATGGCTGTATATCAGCACTGGCGGGAGGCGTGCGTGGTGCATCCCACCAGTGCTGATATACAGCCATATCGAACTGCTACTCGTGTGATATTACGTTTATACAACAGTTCCACGGCACAATCGTGTATATAAAAAAGAAAATCAAACGCAGGGAGTCTAAAACCCTTTTGTATGAGGAACTACTTTCTTCCGCCATTCATTCACATCTGCAGCTGACGTCAGAACAGCAGAAGCCGTTACTAATTCACCAACGTCACTTTAGAGCTAGTGTTTGAATGATTCTCTAGCGTAATGTCTAATGATGACAAAACTGCAGATTTTGCTTACATTTTAAGATTAAAAGGCTGAACGTGACATGAAATAGGTCTCCAGAGATATCTCCCTACAGTTTATTACAGTCTACAGTATTTCTCTGTTGCTGTCGGTATTGAGACGGACGCCAGGTGTCCTGCGTTTACCTGGAGACAGGTATGAAAAAAGGAGACAAAAACTATTTCGCTCCTCCTATTGGCCTTTATGCGTTTCTTCCAAGTGATGTCGACTACATACAGGCCAGTCAACGACAATGAGGAGGCAAAAGGAAAAGAAAAAGCCACTCAAACATCCATCGCAATATAAAATGTAACATTATTGAAATAAAAGAATAATACTGCGACCTGAAATGAACTGTGCTCCCATATATGCGTGCTTACCAAAAAGTTGCTTACATCTCAAAGGTCCTCTTAAAGGGGACATGACATTCATACACAATGCATCAAACATTAAGCCAGTGGTTCTCAAAGTGGGGGTCGGGACCCTCTGGGGGGTCGCGGGACAATGACAAGGGTTCGCTTGGTGATATCCAAAACTCAAATAAATTTTATTAAACTATTAGAATTACCATATTTTATTCATAACCGACAGAATATAGTTAATAGTTGCATTAAAGAAACAGCAACATAAAAATAACAATCAGCCATCAGCCTTTAATTTTAAAAGCAAAATGTAATTAAATCCATAAATTACTTTAAAAAACATTATATGGCTAATAGACTATTGCATTTTTGTGTTGTCAATAAGCTCATGTTTATATTTGCCTATAGTTGTGTCTGCAACGTTTACATATTTACAGTACAACCACCTTGAAAAATGGGGGTCGCGAGCCACTGATTTGATTATTTTTGGGGTCGCGGGCTGGAAAGTTTGGGAACCCCTGCATTAAGCGACCATTACAATATCACAATAATTAACCCCGGAAAAAAGCAGCGCAGCCACCAGACTGCTGTTGTGTTTGCGTTAAGAAGGGACGAGGCTGAATCCAACTTCATATTCGCAGCTTCTTATTGGCTCTATCTGGTCCACCTTAAAAACCGTGATGCTTCCATTTTTTAGCTTCTTATTTGCGCTCAACAGTTGTAATCTTCTAAGCTTATTATGCTGTCCTGGCGCCATCTTGTGGATAGACAACGTCAACCGTCTTTACTAATGGACACCGATGCGCTGTCTCTCAGAAATGATATTTTAAAATAGCCACTATCCTTGATAATAAACTGCATAGTTGCAATCTAAACAACTACATTCTTGACTAAAATAGCCTCGAAAGTACATTATGTTGCCAAACAGCAGGAATATTTGTCAAACTGTAGTGTCTCTCCGCTTGTATGTGGGCGAAGTAATACACAAAGGTGAAGAGACCTTTGTGTGCTGTTACTGGCAAAATATCTCACGGCTATCAGCCAATCAGATTCAAGAACCAGACAGAACTGTAGCGCAGTGGGTAGCACGTTCGCATCACCGCAAGAAGGTCGCTGGGTCGATCCTCGGCTCAGTTGGCGTTTCTGTGTGGAGTTTGCATGTTCTCCCTGTGTTGGCGTGGGTTTCCTCCGGGTGCTCCGGTTTCCCCCACAGTCCAAAGACATGCGGTACAGGTGAATTGGGTTGGCTAAATTGTCCGTAGTGTATGAGTGTGTGTGTGAATGTGTGTGTGGATGTTTCCCAGAGATGGTTTGTGGCTGGAAGGGCATCCGCTGCGTAAAAAACTTGCTGGATAAGTTGGTGGTTCATTCCGCTGTGGCGACCCCGGATTAATAAAGGGACTAAGCCGACACGAAAATGAATGAATATATATATCTATATATATATATATCTATATATATATATATATATATATATATATATATATATATATATATATATATACACATTTGCAGATTGATTTGCCATGGTGTTCACATGCTCAACAGAAATGACTGTGATTGGCGGCGAAGGTCATCAGTTCACCGAACTCACCGCTGCTTACTGAGTGCAACCACAGATACAAGGACACTGGGGTGTTTCCTATGCAACCCATACTGCCAAACCACCAGGAGACGCCCCTTACTCTTAACTGTGAATATGTTCTGTGCTATCATTTTATTTAGGCATGAAAACACTTTAATAAATATAAAAACTGAGCGATTCCTCTCCTTTCCATTACAGGCGCCGTCGCCTCCCTATGCAATCCTCAAAACAGTCATGTAACGATAGCGGGGACTGTCAGACACACTCCATAGTTATAAATAGACGCTGTTTCCCAAACGAATTCTGTATATTTGAAGCGGAGCAAAAGTCTGGGTTTGGGTGTTTGTTTGAATAGACATATACGCATAATTAATAATAATATTAATATCTAAAGATGTCAATTTTGGTGGGTTTTCTTTCAAACACGACTAATTTTGTCTTAAATGAGCATAAAAATTTGGGAAAGCAATCGAATGCTTTCATTTTAATGTTAGATGTGTGCATTTTTTAAAGTGACACCTCTGTTAATCAAATGAAAAATCCCAATGAGATATTAATTTGCTGCTCTTTAATCAGAATGTTTCAGTTATACAGTGAAGAAAAGATTAATGAGATTTGATACCTTGACTCTATTTCTTTAAAATAGCTATTAATTTTAATTGTTAAACTGTTTGCTAATTTATTTGTAGCTTTTTCTAATGTATACTACTTATTATATATTTCGTAAATAACAGTAATAGTTATAATAATAAAACATATTACTGACAGCACAGTAGCGCAGTGGGTAGCATGATCGCCTCACAGCAAGAAGGCTGCTGGTTAATAGTCAGAAGTGTATGTGTGAATGGGTGTGTATGGATGTTTCCCATTGAGGGGTTGCGGCTGGAAGGGCATCTTCTGTGTAAAACATATGCTGGATGAGTTGGCGGTTCATTCCGCTGTGGCGACCCCAGATTAATAAAGGAACTAAGTCGAAAAGAAAATGAATGAATGAATTACTGACTGTTTAACTCTTTATTCACAATGAAACAGCTCCAGATGAACTTATTTAGTTATTTTGATAGAATATTTATTGTAATATTAATTTGGTGATTTTTGGGGGCATATACCTTATTTTTACATCCCAATGTTGACAGATATGAACTCACCCAAACACTGATCATGTCAGAATTAAATTTTTGGGTGAACTATCCCTTTAAAAAAGTCGATTTCCGCGGACTTGGCAACCCTGAATCCGACGCCCGCACGCAGAAGGGGAGGAGCCTCACACGCCCCCGCCCACCGTCGGGTAATCATCGGTCTGTCTGAACCGAACTGCAGTGCAGAGCCGGAATGGGGGGCTTGGCCCCGGTCCAGCACGGTCAAAATTAGCTCTCTGTTGAATTACATGCAGTCAGCCAGTGGAAGCGGCTGAGCTCCAGTCCGGCAGCCTTGTATGGGGAGTCCAAACCCCGCAAGGCTGCCGCTCGGCTCCGCGTTCGTCCACAGACGCCTTTTCCAGCAGCAACTTTACAGCGACAGGACAAGAACAAAGGCTTCACCAGTAAGTAAACCTCCACACATTCGCCAAAAGTTCAGAAACACACATACTAGTCGATTTAGGCTAACCGGGAGTTGTTTAATGCTAGCTAGTGAGTCTTTTAGCACTCCTCGAATCGAAGCTAATGTGATATTCCCGCTCCAAAACTGCACACAGACCGCATGGAGAGCTGCTGTTAAACCCCGAAAAGCAGGAATAACGAAAGTGCCACAGCAGATGTGCTGATATATCCCAGCAGCGCCTCCTTTGTTCTGCTGCTGAGCAGGAAAGTCTCAACTTGATCTGCTAGATTCAGTTTAATAAACGAAAGAAAACTGCTGGAGAGATGAGATCAGGAGACCACTGCAGGAACTGAATGTACCATTTGTACCCAGACACACACACATACACACACACAGACGGGCTGTATTCCCCCAGTCTGCCACCTACACACACACTGCACACACACACACACTCCAGCTTTAAAGCATTATCTGGGTTATTGAGGTTAACAATAAGAAACTTCAGCCTGTTTTAGCATTGCACTGTTAAAGTGAGGTGTAGATAATATTCATCTGAGGGGGGAAAAGCAGACATCATCTGCAGTCTTTCGATGCCAGACTCATTTCTCGGTTCATGTTAGGACAAGGTGTCTTTCCCCCCCCCCCCCCCCCCCCCTCTTCTTCCATTTCCACCCTATTCAGCAGAGCCAGAATGCTGCGTCCTCCGAGCAGGAAAGCCACATTTCTCCCAAACGCCGGCACTGTCTGGGGAGCTCCGAAGCAGTTGCAATCATGGCACAGTCCTAAATTTAGACACAGAGATGAAGTCATGCATACGGGCATCGGTGGAGACGTGTCTCCTGTGCTGTTAGTGATTTCAGCATCATGCAGATCCGCTTCTGCCAGGCATGAGAAATGATTAATGTGGCATTTCAGACTTTAAATCACAAGATTCTGCTTTATTGCATTGCATGAAATCAGTATGCATGCAGTTATGCTATATCAGTGCATGCAGTTATGCTTGATTTTAGCCTCTTATTTTATTATATAAATTTTTTTAAACGTAATATTAATGTGTGTACATGCAGTGCTAAATGAATGATCTCTCTTTTAAATAAATATGCTTTACAGTAATATATTTGTGCATATGCATCCAAAATTGGAGCTGATCCAAGCTCATAGTCTAAAAACGAGCACACCCAAATGAACATGTTAGGTAAAAATAAAAAAATAACATTTAAATAAACTAATAAAATCAAGAGAATGTCAAAAAATCTTAATTTTAGTTGTAGTTTTGTGGTTTGCATCTTAATAATTTTGTATTTAAATGCATTACTTTTCTTTTATATTCCTTCTATTGTTATTTTAATGCATATAACTGTTTAATAAATGAGCTCTGATCACTGATCAGTGGTTAAAAGTGTGCATTTTCAGATGTGTTTATGCTGAGCACTCTATATACAAACATCAGCAGACGTCTAATAGGGTAGCATAGAGTATGCTTGGCATGTCAGCAGGGGCGTGTTTCCACAAAATCGCTCTGTTCTGCAGCAGGCGGACGGGTGGGTTCATCGGGTTCATGCGCGCTCAGTATGGCGGGATGAGGCGGGGGAAAATGTGACCTCGTTTGACTGGATTTGGAAGCGCTCCAAGCTGCAGTCAGGGAAGCGGAATGGGAGGCAGGTGCCTGGCTCCACTATTGCAGCCATGTGCATTTACTTAAGAGAAATGCGTGTGTTGCAGTGTTGTGTGTGTTTGCGAGTCAAAAGCCCGGCCCGGCGGTGGTGCATGTTGCAGGCTTGCACCGAGAATATCAGATGGATTTTTTTTTTTTTTTTTTTTTGTCATCGTCTGACTCAGCAGGAATGTGGGAGGATGACGCTTTCGTCAGAGCTTCAGAGATTATGACCGGAAATTTATTACACATTATGAATGCATCTAACCTGCTTTATTGGGATGTTATTCTGGTTGTGGAAGGGGAAAAGTAAATCCAGTTCAGTTTTTTACTTTTTAATTTTTAAGTTATTAATTTTTTTGTAAAAAGTTAAATTAAGCATGACATTTTGAAGAGTTTTTATTGTAAAAAAAAAATTAACTACTAAGTTTAAAATATATATTTGTTTTCTGTTGGATTAAAGATGACCTGTTATGTCCATTTTACAAGGTGAAATAAGTCTCTGATGTTCCTGGAGAGTGTGTGTAAAGTTTCAGCTCAAAATAATAATGTTTTCTAACTCTCTGAAATTGACCCTTTCAGGCTTTGATCCTGATTGTGGCGTTTTGGTGACTGTCACTTTAAATTCAAATGAGATTGTGCTCTTTTCACAAAGAGGGCGGAGCTATAAACAGCATAGTGGTGTGTGTCAGCATAGTGGCTGATTCAAAAACATGACAAAAGTCCTATGCTAATGAGGGAGAATAGTCATTAGTGGGCGGGGCTTTCCCCCTCTGATGACACATACATGTAAGGGAGAATGTCAATCAAAGTGTTTCTGCATGTTTTTATCAAGGCTGACTTTAATAAATACAATTAATACATTTTTACCAATAGAAGCTTATATCCACACTGCTGACACACAGTTGTGTTTAAACCCCTTATAAAAGTCATTAGATCCTCTTTAAAGTATTGTGTCGTCTTTATTATTGAAATAATCAAGGGACTTTAGAAGTGACTTGTTAGAGGTCATTCAGTGTGACAGGATCAAGAAATATTAATAAGCATAAATATTTGATCATTTCATCTTTGCATCATGTTGTGGTAACTCAAGTTACAAAACCACGTTTTATCTTGAAGTTTAACATAAGGTGCCTGATTTATTTTTAGGTTTGGTCTTTTTAGGTTATTATGTTAGACTTTCGGTGTAATGCACACTTGCGGACTGCATTGTTTTAGTTGATACAAATACATTATCTAGTCATCTCAGCTTGCATTAGTCAAACTGTATCACTTTAAAGATAACATTCAGCATTTTAATAATAATAATTATCTATGTATGTGTGTGTGTTTGTGTGTGTGTGTGTGTGTGTGTGTATATATGTATATATATATGTATATATGTATATATATATATGTATATATGTATATGTGTGTGTGTATATAATATATATATATATATATATATATATATATATATATATATATATATATATGTGTGTATATATATATATATGTATATATATATATATATATATGTATATATGTATGTATGTATGTGTATATGTATGTGTATATGTATGTATATGTGTATATATATATATATATATATATATGTATGTATGTAAAAACTCACATATATATTATATGTGTGTGTGTGTGTATATAATATTTATATATATATATATATATATATATATATATATATATATATATATATATATATATATATATATATATATATATATATATATATATATGTATGTATGTATGTATGTGTGTGTTCTGTCTGGATCTCGAATCTGATTGGCTGATAGCCATGATTTATTTAATTAATATTTAAGATTTAATTAATATTTACTTAACCCTTTGTGTATTACTCCGCCCACATACAGCCAGCAACAAGCAGACACCACAGCTTGGCAAATATTACTGTTGTTAGACCACCAAATATACTTTTGAGGCTTCTTTAGTCAAGAATGTAGCTGTTAAGATTGCAACTATGCAGTTTATTTGCAAGAATAGAGCCTATTTTACAATATTTACAATCTCTGTGACAGTTGACGTTGTCTATCCACAAGATGGCGCCAGAACCGCATAATAAGCCCCTGCTCAGTGTGTTCTCTTGAGCGCGAATTAAAAAGCTTTAAAAACGGAAGCCTCGTGGTTTTTAAGGTGGACTGGATAGAGTCAATAAGAAGCTGCGAATAAAAAGCTGGATTCAGCCTCGTCCCTCCTTATCGCAAACACAACAGCAGTCTGGTGTGAAAGCTCTGTAGACGGATGGCACGTTGGAAGGCATTTCATGTCACGTTCAGGCTTAAAATGTGAGCCAAATTTGCTGTTTTGTCATCACCTTAAGGGGGTCACACTCCAGAAGTGCCGCATTACATTACGCTAGAGAATCATTCAAACACTAGCTCTAAAGTGACGTTGGTTAATTAGTAACGGCTTCTGCTGTTCTGACGTCAGCTGCAGATGTGAATGAATGGCGGAAGAAAGTAGTTCCTCATACAAAAGAGTTTTAGACTCTCTGCGTTTGATTTTCCTATTTATATACACAATTGTGCCGTCGTACTGTTGTATAAATGCAATATCACACAGGTAGCAGTGTGCTATGGCTGTATATCAGCACTGGTGGGGTGCTAAGGCTTATTCTATTCACCTGTACTGCATGTGTTTGGACTGTGGGGGGATCCAGAGCACCTGGAGAAAACCCACACCAATGCGGGGAAAACATGCAAACTCCACACAGAAATGCCAACTGACAAAACCGATGCTCAAACTAGTGACCTTCTTGCTGTAAGGCGATTGTGCTACCCACTGCGCCACCGTGCTGCCCCTGTAAATGGACTTGTAAAGTCATTTTTGGCTAATCTAAAGGCGCTTTGTTCTGATTATAACATATTAAAAAATGCACTCTTTCTCCTGCAGGTCCCGTTTTCAGGATGACGTCGACTGGAGCAATGGGGGATCCCATTAGGTAGGTGGATTGGCCTGGTAATCTGAGGGTTTAATGACCTCACAGTGCCCGATCGGTGATTTCCATCTATTGTGTGTTCACTTCCTCAGAGTCGACAGCTGTGTTCCTGAACCCGCCGGAGCACAGAGGAACGTCCACCAGACATCCACATTCCCTCTGTCTGATGCTGGATAAAGAACGGCCCTCAGGAGGGGGGGGAAGCGTATTCTCCGTGTATATTGTTTTTTATTTCCTAAAATCATGTATATCCTTATTTTGTATGGTTCTGGCGTGCGGTACAGGTGAAATATGATGCTGGGGCTCTTCCCTCATCTATGTGATTAATAACATTTAGACAAAACCTGGGACTCTAAGCCTTGATGATATGCTCTTCAGAGGGAACGGCAGTAAAGACACAAAAGCACCTCAAGACAGACCTGACAGACTGGAGCTTCACATGTCTGTGTTTGCAAACTGCGGGGGTCCGGGACCCTCGTGGCGGCGGCAGCAGCACGTCTTCCACTTGTCCACTTCTACTTTGCACGGCTGGACTCTTTCATACCTCTGTGAAAAAACACAAAACAAAAAAAATAATAATCATCCACCGGTGTTTAACAGTGTTCATGCGGTAATGATGCGATGTGGGAAACTCGAGCAGTGTTTTCTTTAGGAGGCCGATTCCAGTGTCAGGGTTCCCATAGAAATGTTAATCGATTCTTAAAATGAGCATTTATAGATCTGGTATGGTCACGGAATTTATTAGATTTGCATAAGGAGTCATGAAAAGTGCACTTGATTGGGAGCTTTTCTTTCTGAGTTTGTGCTGCTCTCAGTTATTTAATCAGCGTGACGCTAGATTTGTTTCAAATACAAAAAAAAATTGTATTAAATCAATGCCGAAGTCCACGTGAATTAGAAAGTAGAAGTACAGAAACTTTCATCTCAGTGTGTTGATGCATTTCCAACTGAAACTGAATATGGAGTAGGGGGTGGAGCTTTATTTCAGAATGTTGATGTACCTCCAACTGAAATGGAATATAGAGTGGGGGGCGGGGCTTTATTTCATTGTGTTGATGTACTTCCAACTGAAATGGAATATTGAGTAGGGGGTGGAGCTTTATTTCATTGTGTATATGAACTTTCAACTGAAATTGAATATTGAGTAGGGGGCGTGGCTTTATTTCATTGTGTTGATGTACTTTCAATTGAAATGGAGTATTAAGTAGGGGGCGGGGCTTTGTTTCAGAACGTACTTCCAATTGAAATGGAGTATTGAGCAGGTGGTGGACCTTTATTTCAGTGTGTTGATGTACTTTCAACGGAAATGGAATATTAAGTAGGGGGCGGAGCTTTATTTCAGAATGTACTTCCAATTGAAATGGAGTATTGAGTTGGGGGCGGAGCTTTATTTCAGAATGTTGATGTACTTCCAACTGAAATGGAATATTGAGTAGGGGGCGGGGCTTCATTTCAGAATGTTGATGTACTTCCAACTGAAATGGAATATAGAGTAGGGGGCGGGGCTTCATTTTTGCATACAATTCCCTTGTAGCAAACTAACTCTAAAAGAGATGTGGCTAAGAATTTCATTTCTGAAGCGTCAAAGCATACCTGCCAACATTCCCGTTTTCCCCGGTAGTCTCCAGTATTTCAGACCCATCTCCCGTATTGTTCTGTCTCCCCGAAATAGACCCCCTCACCTCCCCCCACCACAAATGTTGGCAGGTATGCGTCAAAGTGATGTCAACAAAAGAACCGCCAATCAAAACGCAGAAGCAAATGGTCAGATATTGCGATACTGGAATTCAATACCTGTACTGATATTTTAAAAATGTTGACCTTAAACAGTGCTGATGATCTTAAACAGTGCTGATGATCTTAAGCAGTGCTGATTTGCCATTGTGTTCATGTACTCAACAGAATTGACTGTGATTGGCCATGACGGTCATCAGTTCACCAAACTCACCGCTGTTTACTGAGTGATCTTCATGGCTTTAAAATGCTCCAGTGTTCATATTTATGTTTACAGCGGTGAGTTGGTGAACTGATGACCTTCAGGACCAATCACAGTCATTTCTGCTCAACAGCGCTCGAATTAAATAGACGTTTTAAAATTCCATTAATGATCGTTATTGAATTCTAGTATAATGACAACACTACGATCAGAAAACAAACAGTTTTTTTATTGCACACCTAGGAAAATAAACAAATTAAATTTCCATTTCACACAGACTTTAAGTTCTGTGGGAACCCTGCAGTATTGAATGTTGTTTTTGTTGCCATTTTTGTTTAGTTGAAATCTCTAAGAAGTATTTGAAATCAAAACTCGCACCTTAATGTTAATTGATCATGTGGTTATCGACTGGTGACCATTACCAAGTCATTGCCAAACATGGTGGTCTTTCACTACCAAATAAGGCACACTGACTCAAGCACTTTGAGGTCCCTCCTAGATCCTCCATTCTTACGTCGTTTTCATCACTAAAACACATCGCCATCAGTCAAAACTCACACCTTACAGTATTTACTAAGGCTAAGAGTCCCCACTTCTCATGCGGTTACTAAAAACTTAAAGCTACAGAGTTCATCTTTTTTCGATTGGTTGATTTTTGTAGGTTTTCGCTTCAGTTTAGCTTTTTAATTTTGATCGTTTTTGTTTGCTTTGCCAGTATATTAAAGTGTAATCATGTACGTTGTGCTATAGAAATAGCTGTACAGACGCATTGTTTCCTTGTGGTAAGTGACTGAGATGCTGCCACGGATTTGAGACACTGATGAATGGTGCTATTTTGGACTTTAATCTGCTCCTTGGTAAGGAAGCTCAGATGGGTTTTGTTTTATATTTTCATGTTCGGAAAAGGAGGTTGTTGGTTCTTTGTTGTCTGGTTGTCGTAATTCGGATCGGATCGACTTTATTCCCCCCTTGTTGTTTCTGTGTGGCTTTCTCATTGGACAGACAAAAACTGATTTGTTGAAGAGTTGGCGTTTCGTTTTCGTTTCTTTACTTTAAATTAAAAAAAAAGACAAAGGGTAACACTTTACAGTTGGGTTGCATTAGTTAATGCTAATTTACTAACACGAACAAACAGCAGTCAATGCGTTACAGTATTTATTAATTAGTTAAAGTCGTTCATTGTTGGCTCTTGTTAACTAGCAGTATATTAACTAAAAGTGAAAGTTGAACTAATATTGAAGGTGCTGTATGTACGTTTTTGACTCTTTTAAAGCGTAAAAATACCTTAATATGTTTGCAGATATTTAAGGTGCTTTTACACCTGTTAATCGATTCATTTGTTCCGAAACAGGGATTAAAAGCGTCACATTGTTGCTCTTTGTTCTTAGTGCGGTTCATTTTCACACGGCAAAGTTTTTAAACGAACCCAAATAGCTAAAACAGCTAAAACTCGCAATTTCCATGAGATTATCACTTGTTTGCGGGTATCCGGGGGTCTCTGCATTTGTGGGAGACTAACGGAAATTCCAGGAGACTTGGGATGTCTGGAATGACCTCCCGCCCTACTCATAACTCTCTCTTCATATAGCCATATGCCTCTTACAAATCCATAAACCACTGTGATATAGCCGGGCTTGAATCGTATCACTTTCTCACAACAATCAATCCACTCCGGAGTTCGTTTCAATCGAGCTGAGACCTCCTCATTCAGGCGATTGTTTAGGCGCGGATCCAAGCGCAGTTGCTGGATTCACATATCACAAACGAACCGCGCTAACAGGGCAAACGAGACTAATCTAGGTGTGAAAGCACCCTAAGAAACATGATTAGCTTTGGAAATGTGCGTTACGTGGTGGAACGTCTGCCTTCGTTTTGGTTGATTTACCCGCCCAATGCCAGTTTAGCCAATTATATTTCAGCAGCCCGGGTTACCTTGATGGAAAACAGCATATTTCGTTCATTCAGTCATCAGGGCTTAAATACAACCTCCGATGGACACTAAACTCTCGGAAATGAGAAGCAGATTCAGGGTTCCACTTGAGGTTATTTATTAGCGTTAATATAGTTATTACAAAAGTAAACATTAAATCAGCAGGTTACATTGTAACCCCGTTCCCTAACAACAGGCAATTTGGCGGTTTTCACCAGATAAAACATTGTAGAAACATTTAAATACAGCTATTCAGAAGCACAGAATAGTGCACTCGCTGCACTCCAACGAGATAGCAAGGTTTATAATCGAATGAATACATATTAATCCTTTAACATTACTATATGTAGATGCTGAATGATTGAAGTTTGTTAACTAGGCTTGCACTGAGTGTCAAACGTACACACTGCACCTTCATTAAATACTGTAACACTAGTATTGATCATGAGTAAATCCATTACCTAATGAAAACTGTAAATTGTGACCCAAACGTTTTCCTCAAAGATGATTATTTGCGAAACTCAGAAATCCAAGACGGTCGGAGCAATCACAAAACTGCAATTAATAACACTATTTACCCTTTAATCTAAAGGTTTAATTCAAGGAGTAGTTACAGTTCCTGGCACTAGTCACTTCGGGATTTAGCGAACTCGGTCTATAGTAGATCTCATGCATACAAAAGCGGGAGCGAAGTTCATGATTTTCGTTCCTTAAATACATCGAGGACGCTTTCAGATACATGAAACATCGCTGCAAAAACACGAAGGACGTCTGTGATTGCTGTTGTATTCCGCTGCGCACGGCCCCAGAGCGACGGCGGTCTATGTAGTGTATATAAACCAGGGCAGATTTCTCATCAGCTGTTTCCTACACCAGCTGGGAATGTCTTAATACGCATTAAAAAAAAGAAACAATCATCCGTTTAGCGACACCGGGTCCTCCGATGTATTTTCTACCGCAAAAAAATGTAGCATCGAAGAATAAACAAACCATTGACATCTATAGCAACTGGTTTTCTAAACGAGTTAAACGCCTAAAGCGCTCTGTTTATTGTTTATTTGTTCGTTTAATTTAAGTAGCATGATATCGTCACTTGGTATTTGCAGTTTTGTCTTTGCTTCCAGTTCACATTTAACAGTCCTAATTCAAAGACCAACTGGAAAGCCCACATTAGTTTCGTAGTCTTCCATTTATTGTTTATTTCCACTACAATGGGAACCGTCCCAGCTTGCTCTAGTCTTTCCTTAGTGCTTTACGGCATATCGACTGCATGCTCTCGGCTCTTCCTTCTTTCTCTTTTTGGTTTCTGATCTGAATAATTCTCCTTGCGTTTTTTTTTTTTTTTTCCTCCATAGATTAGGTATTGCCTACTGTGTTGTAAATAGCCAGTGAATAGCTTTTAGTATGTTGAATTATTCTGTAACAATTGTGTATGATTGGTGTACAACACATGAAGTCCGGCCTGGTCATCTATATGAAGATGTACTGGTGGTTCATGTCATTTTTGCAACTTATGCTGTAGTTGAATAAATATGCATGCTCATCGCTATTCTTGGTGGTGTTTATTTTGGTTGTATGATTATAGTCTTAGCTGGTCAGGCTGCAAAGTGACCAGTTACAACCATCTAAAACTAGCTTGACCATCCTGGACCATAGCTGATTTTAGCTGGGCTCCCAGCCTTGCTAGGCTGGTCAAGCTGGTTTAAGCTGGTCATCTCCCAGCCAGTCCAGCTAAGACCAGGCTAGAAACCAGCCTGAAAGTGGCCAAAACCCCTCTAAAACCAGCCTGGTCAACCAGCTAAAACCAGCCAACCATCCTAGGCTGGTTTAAGCTGGATTTTCCAGCAGGGATTATTTTCTACAAGTGTCTCCTGATCAGCAAAGTGGTTAAGGAAAAAAAGTGGCTTCATTCAGTTCTGAAACACACTAGAGTTGATTTCAGCACACTCATTTTAAAGTTGGTTCACCTCATCGAGACGCCAGCGCTCAAGTACAAGCCTGACTATGGAA